AAACTTTAGTAGAGAACCGTAAAAAAAAAATAGTAGTGCACTAAATCTATCTAATGTTACTCCCACCAAACAAAAACAGTTACTCGAAGAAAAGATTCTCTAGCAAACGCACACAATTATCAGTGGAATCTTAGTCAGTACAGGCAAGTGTGCCTGCCCAATTCGGTGCATCAATTGATGCCCATAATACAGAGGTATGGCGACTGTTTCCTGAGCTCAAATTAAGTCTTCCTGGTCCCACGACCATAATATCCTTAACTGTCCTGCAACAAGATAACACTAAACAGCAGTACTGTTTTTCTTCTCAGCATGCAACTGCGATTTGCAGGTTTGCTGCTAGCGAACACTTGCAGTTAGCCCCTCCTGGAAACGATGTTTTGCAGTTGGATCCTTAAAAACTATAGGACATGTACGGCGGGTGTGTGCCAGCCGTAAAATACTAAAATCTATCCACCCCCTGGTAAAATCTATCCACGTCAATTTTCATTGACGTGGGAGAGAGTTTGTGAAGAGAGAAAGTAGCAATATGTTAATTGTCCACCGTAAGAGAGGGAAGGGAGGTGTTAAGGATGATAATCTCCTTGCTGTAACCTAGCATTCCTATATCCCTATGTTTGTTAGGCGGTGTTCTAAAGGGGCTTTTAACTATTTACCACTTTTAGATTTGGCAAATAACTATTTGCCACCCCTATCTCAATGACATGTGGGTCCAGTGGCAAAAAGTTAATTGCCACATCTAAATGGGCAAATGGTTAAATATCTCTGTTCTAAAGGCTATGTTTCCAACTTTCTTTCTTCGTTTTCACACACATACTTAGCAAACTACTAAACAGTATGAAATTTTAAAAATTTTCTATATGAAAGTTGCTAAAAAAATACTCCCTCCATTTTTTAATAGATGACGCCATTGACTTTTTGACACGCTTTTGACCATTGTCTTATTTAAAAACTTTGTGCAAAAATATAAGATATAAATCATATTCAGTTGACGGAGCGTGGGGCTCCTCACCGGGAGACCGCGCAGGCCCCCCTTTGCCGGTCCGGCCGGGGGCCCTGGGTGAGATTCTAAGCTCCTAGTCTGTGGAAAGTTCGCGAGAATGGAAAAAGCACAAGACACGGGCGAAGTATACAGGTTCGGGCCGCCGAGAAGCGTAATACCCTACTCCTATGTTCTGGTGGATCTGTGTATGAAGAAGCTACAAAGAGCTGGAGAGCCAGAGAGCTCTTACTCTAGAAACCCTCTTCTCCCTTTTTTCCTCTCGTGGGATCTACTCTCCAGTTCCTCTCTCCTTTCTTCTTTTCGTCCCCCTCTCCTAAGTGGGCAAGGTCCTCCTTTTATATCTCAAGGGGATACCACATGCACCACCTCTACCTATCTCTCTTTTTGGTTGGGGACTTATCCTATCTTTACTCCAACTTGGCTTGCCTTCTCTAGAAAGCTAAAAACACTGCTTGTTTTTGAGTGTGGCCACGCGTCCTCACTCGTCTGACCTCGGGGATCACCCTGTCATCTCTTCATAAATGGGCGGAGACTTGCAATGGCTGCTGTCCGAATGACCTTCTGATGGGATGGCCCATACCTACCTCCACTCCGCCGGAAGCAGGTGCAACGTGGGAACATGGTTGTCTGCCGACGACATGACCAGTGTCAGACCGGTCACAAATCGGTCATTCTTGCCCACCACGTGTCAGTCTAGCAATCTGCATGCTCGCCCTTCTTCATACAATATCTTGCTTGTAATGGTTAGGATGAAGCCTGGCATATATCTGACCGGGACCAACGTGCCATCTCCAGGAGCTAACACGCCGGTTCCGGCTAGGGACGAGTGCTTGGAGGCTCTCATCCTGACGGGATGGGGCGAGGCGTGCGTCAGACCGCCTGTCGCCACCTAACCCACGATCTGATCGGTCTGTGACCAGTCACAGACCGGATAAACGAGCGCACTGCACTGCGTTACATGCGGCGTGACGCGCTCGTCTAAACCGCAATAAATGCGGTTAGGTGAGCCCCGTTGTGCTCACCTAACCCATACACGCGGCGCCAAACCCACAAGGGGTCGGGGCGCCTCAGCCCTCGGGGCCGAAACGGGAGCGGTCCGACCCCTCGGGGAGACAAAGAGGGGGGCGGCCACATCACCCTCGGGCCCGACCCCCCCGAGGGGGTCAGGCCACGTGGGTGATTGCTCCTGCCCAAACCTCTAGTCATGATACTCCCGGTCCCATGTCACCGACATTAGTGATAAAACAAATCACAATAAAATATACTATAATTATGTAAATTTTTTAATAAAATGAATGATCAAATGTGTGTTCAAAATCAATGGCGTTATCTATTAAAACAGAGATAAATCTATTTTTAAACATTTTTTCATAATAATTAATTAATCATGCACTAATACATATTTCGATTTTTCGCGAGGGTCTGTAAATAAGATGTGCTGAGTGCATGGTAAAACAAAAGGTGAAATCTAGCACAAGTGATATTGTATGACACTCCTCGTGGGGGAGGTCTCATGTGCACACAATGTGGCCCTCATCCTTTGGTCAAATGCAGATAATACGTCATACGGTATATTAGAAAGAAAGTAATTTGCAGCTAAAAAATTTATATATGTGTTATTAGTGACTTTAAATGACAATGCTGAAAAATAAAATTTGATAAAAACTTTACAATCATCTTTTTAAAATTTAAATTTAACAGCGATTGATGTTCTATAGAGAACGATAGAGGCTTGCTGTGCAGACGCCCGGCACGCGAACGCCATCATCGTGCTCATGAATTAGGATTCTCTATCTTCAAAATCAAAGTCACGTGACATTTATCATTGACATGTAGGCTCGACAAACCTTAAACTGATCACATGTTAGTGGCAATGGTATCAGGAGGGTTTGGTTAACTACCACACAGTTTGTTGAGCCTTATCACAAATTTTTGGCAGATTTTGCTTCATCGATACAGTTCTGGTACGCCAAAATCTTTAATTCCTCATACAAACATGCCATGCACCTCTATTACTTTAATTATCACACTTTAGCTATAACTAAGTTTCGTATGGTGTGATATTAAATACGAGTAGATCGACCAAATATGCATCGAAGCATTTTATATTTAGGAATTAACGCCTTTGTCTTCTATATCCTAAAACACTTTAATTTAGTTTGAAAACTCAAAAACAAGGATTTATCATTTATTCCCTCAGTTTCATATTATAAGCCGTTTTGATTTTTTTTCCTAATCAATAATTTTTAAGTTTATAGAAAAAATATAGCAACATTTTTAACCCAAAATAAACATATTATCAAAATATATTAAATATTAATTTCAATAAAACTAATTTGGTGTTGTAGATGTTAATAACTTTTTTTATAAACTTGATAGCCTGACTAGAAAAAAGAGTCGAAACGACTTATAATATAAAATGGAAAGAGTAATTATAAAGTTTAGCCTACATACTTGGCCTTATTTGTTTCAGCTTAAAATTATTATAATCCAGATTATTGAGTCAGATTACTATAAGATGCATTATAATAAGTTGAGATAGAATAAGCTATCTTTAGATTATTAGTTGTTTGTTAGCTAAAAAAAGCACCTTTAAAGTGGATTGTAATAATCTATTATAATAAACTATTTGTTTATTTCAGCTTACACCTAATAATCTATTTTATAATAATCCAAGGGCTGAATCAAACAGGGCCTAAATTTCTTGGGACATTGTGCAAGTTAAAACCATTACTTTGTAAGCATTCTTCGTCATCTCCAGTAAGCTTGATGTCCTCGCCAACTCTAATTTCTTCTCCGAAGAGGATGACAGACATTCCTCGGAGCACAAAATCACCATGTTCTTCTTTAGGTTAGTTGGATCCATACCACTACAAATATGTCAAATTAGAAAAATGTCACTACTATTCACGATATCGATTTGGTGCCACTGAAATTTTATAAAATTGTAACCATGCCACCGTCCACTTTCCTGTCATCCTCGTTAGATCCACATTCTCTTCATCTGTGGCGTGTGCTTTGTCAACCTCATCGGCTTCTTCAACTCCGGTGTCAACGCTGGCAAGTAGCAGCAGCACCGACACACGGGGGAGAACAAGGAGAGCTCTGCGTCCGCGGCCTCCAGCGGCGGCGTGCGGCTCGGCCTCCTCCCTGGCACGGAAGAAATAAGCGGAGGTCGTCGACCATGACGACATGGTCCTCGTCGTCGTCGCGCCTGGACAGCAGCTCCTCGTCGTCGCGCGTCGCCACTACCATGCCCCCATGCTCCAGCCCATCGATGCTCCACGAGCAACCACCACCCTCACCGCCTCTTCCCGCACTGACAAGCGACGAGCGAGCGGCGGGACGGATGAGCCATGGCGGGACCTCGGTAGCTCGGTGGTGGCTTCTCTCTCACCAGATCTAGGCAGAGATCCCAACCTGTCATCATCACGCTCATCGATGAGCTCGAGCGGATGCGCGTCCTGCTCGCCGCTGCCCTCGCTGAGGAGCTCTCCTCCTGTCCCGCCCCTCCCCCATCTATCGCTGTGCCCTCCTTCTCCAGCGCCGATTTGTCTGTCGAGGATCTCCTCGCGCTCATCTCCTTTGGCTCCCTCTTCGACCGTCCACGACCACCGCGTGGAGTCGTCGCCATCCACGACCACCATCTAGCCTTCCCGGAGCTCGCTGGCTAGCCTCCGGCGTAGGCTTGCTGCTTGCAGACGAAGACGACAAGGAGACGAAGGCCCTGATGTCAGAAAATGTGACATGGACAACATAAATTGCGATGGAGTAGCATGGTTCTAATTTTAGAAGATTGGTGTGGCATTTACCTGATATCACGAATAGTAGTGATATTTTTCTAATTTGATATATTTGTAGTGGCATGGTGACCATGGATTTCAAATGCAAATATCACAAATGTAGATGCCTTTTATGGAAGATTTCCCCCCTTCTCCTCTTCGCTTTCGCTGTCACAGATAGAACTAAAACACCTAATTCCCCCAAACAATTCCAATTCCAATTCCAGCTCAATGCTGCACGGAATCTCCTCTTCCCATCCCCCAAAACTCTCCCAAAACCGCGTATAAAAAGCGAGCTCCCCTATCACCTTCTCCATCGCATCATCCCTCCCCCAAATTCCCCAACTCCGGGCCTCCGGCAAGCCAAGAAACCCCCAACCCAACTCCGGCGATGGCGTCGCAGCTGGTGGAGGAGCACCGGTCGGGCGCGGAGGTCCACACGGGGCACGAGCTCTGCGAGCGGAAGGCCCGGGAGCTGCTGGTGGAGCTCGGCCTCCCCGACGGGCTCCTCCCGCTGCCGTCCCTGGAGGAGGTCGGGTACAACCGCGCCGCCGGGTTCGTGTGGCTCCGGCAGACCCAGGCGGGCGGCGCCACCCACACGTTCGACACCATCGGGAAGCAGGTGTGGTACGCGGGCGAGGTGACGGCGTTCGTGGAGCAGGGGCGGATGCACGGCGTCGCCGGGGTGAAGAGCAAGGAGCTCCTCATCTGGGTCTCCATCTCCGAGATCGTCCTCAGCCCCTCCGGCACCAAGCTCGTCTTCCGCACCCCGGCCGGCCTCGGCCGCGCCCTCCCCGTCACCGCCTTCCAGCTCAACCCGGCGCCCCCGGAGCCGGAGAAGAAGGACGCCGCCGCCGCCGACGAGGCCGACGCCGCCGCCACCAACTGATCCAAGAAGACATGGGCGTTGCGTTTTAGCAGCGGTAAGTAAGTAGTGAGATCCGGGCCGTCGTGGTGAAAAAGATTGTAGTTGTTGTTATATGCTTGGAATTCGTGAGCCTACGAGCTCGATCTGATCTCCCATCTCTCTCCAGTCTCCAGTGTGTCTGTCCATGGATGATGCTGAAATAAATATATGTTCTTGTGGATTCCTAATTGCAGTTTACATTTTTGACTGCTATGCTATTGCTCTGCCAGCTTGATCGATGGCTTGGTGATCTAGCAATCCATGCGAATTTCTCGCCGTTCTTTTTGTGGATTGTTATAGATTTGATAATTTGGCATATATTGTCATAGGATTCACAAAAAAAAAAAAAACAAACTGTGTTTTTTTTTTGTTTTATTATTTATAGAAGTGGCAGAGAGTACCAACCAACAGCCTTGAATTGAACCATAATCCAGCAATTAAAAGGCAGGCAAGAGAGGCATGGGGTCTCCCCTCTCCCCATGTGTTGTACAGGTAGAAGGTAGAAGTTGTTCATCTAATCCAACGGCTGTGCGTTTCTTGAAAAATCAACGGCCGATTGTTCTTTACTCACCGTCACCTTTTTTTTTTTTTTTTTTTTTTTTTTTTTTGCTATTTCACGGTCATCCTTGCTTGGCTTGTAATGTAAGTCAGGCCCTGTTTAGATCGGACTAAAACTTTTAATTCCCTATCACATCGGATGCTTGGATACTAATTATAAATATTAAACGTAGACTATTAATAAAACCCATCTATAATCTTGGACTAATTCGCGAGATGAATCTATTGAGCCTAATTAATCCATGATTAGTCTATGTGATGCTACAGTAAACATTCTCTAATTATGGATTAATTAGGATTAAAAAATTTGTCTCGCGAATTAGCTTTTATTTATTAAATTAGTTTTGTAAGTAGTCTATATTTAATACTCTAAATTAGTGTCTAAATACAGAGACTAAAGTTAAGTCCCTGGATCCAAACACCACCTCACGGTCATATATTCCCTCCCACATACTCCCTCCGTTTCACAGTATGAATGTGGAAAATGTTAGAATGACTTATAGTCAGATTTGTAACTCAGATTAGAGTCGACCAATGCTGGTTAGATTTGCAAGTTAGGGTGTGTTTGAGGAGAAGGAGATTGAGAAGATTGGGAAGATACGCAAAACGAGGTGAGCTATTAGCTCATGATTAATTGAGTATTAACTATTTTAAATTTTAAAAATGGATTAATATGATTTTTTAAAGCAACTTTTCTATAGAAAATTTTTACAAAAAACGCATCGTTTAGTAGTTTGGGAAACGTGCGCGCGGAAAACGAAACAGACAAGCTCACTCTCCCACCCTCTCGAGCGCTGCCTTAATGGCTTTGTGTTGGCAGCATGATGCATGCACTGTTTGATATGATAGCCAACAGTTGCTTAGTTGCTGTAGTGAAAGAACTAGTTACAGGCTATTGCGCAGCGCCGTAAAGAGCTGCCCAACAGGCCGAGAATTTTCAGAATATGTCACTCAATTTGTAACACTCTCAGATCATGCCACCAAGGACGCGAATTGTTTCATTCCGTGTCACTCTGTCCCTCTGAAGCGGAGCGCCGTCGCCCGCCCGTGTCACAACGTCCGTCTGAGTCGGGCACCACCGAAGAGTTCCTCCCCCACGCCAGCGAGTTCTTCCTTCCATGCCGGCAGAGCTCTCCCCACCGCGGCGAGCTGTTCCTCCCGCGCCGGCGTAGCTCCTCCTCCCCAGGTTGCCAAGCTTCTCCCCCGCAGATGCTAGAGAGCTTTTCCTCCCTGCACCAGAATGGCGAGCTCTTTCTCCCCAACACCGGCCAAGCTCCTAATTCCCTCACGCTGGCGGCAGCAACATGACGCAATGGACGGCACGGTACGGATGGGCGACGGGCGTAACTTCGGAGAGACGGAGTGTCATGGAATGAAACAATTCGCGTGCTCGGTGGCTTGTTTTGAAAGTGGTACGAATTAAGTGGCAAATCCTGAAGGTGGTGCAAATTGAGTGGCATACTTTGAAAATTCTCCAACAGGCATAATGCATGGATTTAGAATTGTAACTTTCCCCTGTTCTTTTTTTAATAAAAGAGAAAATATAACTTGCTATTCGTAAAAACTGGTAGGGTTGCCCGCTTACCAAATAGCACAGTTTCAAGCGAAAGATCGCTAATGCATCATTTGAGAGTTAAAACACAACTACCAAAGAAGGTATTCTCTTGTTCGTCGATAGTTATTTCATTAGATGTGGGACGAGCCTACGTGTCGGGCGCCCGATTGATTTAGGGAAAAATCGGGCGTTGACGTCAGCATAACGTCAACGCCACGCATACGTACAAAACTACTCTAAACTAATTTTTCTCTTAAATTATTTATCCAAATCATGATCCGATTGCACCATTAAATTCGTTGCAATTAAATCTTTAAAACAAAACCACACATGGATATATTCCGATGAATTTTTTTTAGCTTATTATTGAATTATCATTGTGTTTAGTTCCAAAGTTATTCTTCAAACTTCCAACTTTTCCATCACATCAAAACTTTCCTACACACACAAACTTCCAACTTTTCCGTCACATCGTTCCAATTTCAACCAAACTTCCAATTCTGGTGTGAACTAAACAACCATACATAGTGAAACATTGTGGGTACACTAGGTGAAACATTTTTCGTGGAACAAAAAATGAAACGAATTCCCTTAATAGAGGGTTTTCAAAATATGTGGGTAATTTGTTGCAATGAAGTATATGGTGGAGATAAGTGGCAGGCGAGGGAAGAGACGTGGTGGGGCCCAGGGGCAGGCAATGCGCGTGATGGGGAGGGAGCGCCTGATATTCCTCCCTCCCCCGAGCGACTGATCCGGGGCATTCTCCTTAGATGTGTACATCTGGAGTTGAAAAAATGGGTTAGAAATTCAAGTATAAATTTAGGGCCTATTTTGTATAGTTTCACTTCGAGGGATATCGTCTATGGTTAGGAAGTGCTTCAAAGCTCAAATCAGATAAAACACATTTGATGTGTTAGAGGCAACGGGTTCAAATCGTGATACCCTGAATCATGCATGCGCACATATACTTTCTACTGAAAGTATATGATGTTCGTATGTTATGGCTTTTTATATTGAGCAGCGAAGCCAGGGCCGGGCAACCTAGAGCCAGTGCCCAGGCCCATCGCACCGAGAGGCCGGTAACGCTCTCTCATCTTAGAGTGTATGAGATTTTTTTTAATAATGGATTAAAAACACAGCTAATTTATGGAAAAGGATGTATACAACCATAAATGTCCATACAAGAATACTTATACTCTCCCCATTACATGTGAAACATTGACGACATAACAAGTTTAACCACCACAAGAAAGAAGAACCAAAACTAAGCTTCAATTCTTCTTGTGAAGTTCCAACCATAGGTAGATTAGACTTCCAGAAGTTTCATCTCCAAGGTTTTGCATAGAACCTTCACTATATTGCCATCATCCTCATTAAGAACAGCGACCAAAGTCTTGCCAAATGCGTGCCCCTGAAAATCACCTACGCAAAAGAGTTAGCGATGTAACCATTAAATACCACATTATTCCTACTTATCCAAACTGCCCAACACATTGCAGCTATGCATACAAAAATTAGCTTCTTAAGTGCCAACTTCCAAAGATATGTGATGCACTACGAGGCTTGGCAGTGAAGAGGTCCTGATGTCGTGCACAGGGAGCATGGAGCCATGGAGGGAAGGGAGGGGGGAGGGGGGCTACCGAATATCCGTCGGAATATCCATTTGCAAGTATGGAGATTCCGGTTGAGGATTTCTGCTTGGACCGAACTATTCAACAGGATATTGGTATTTGTTACTAGAGATTCCAGTATAGTTGGAGCTTCTCCAACAAAGTGAACAAGGAATAATATCGAAAGGAATATTTAGGGAAAAGAGAGAAGTGATTCCAAACACAAAAAGGGAACAAAAACACACAGACAAAAGGATTTTTTTTTTTCATGAAGTTCTGATCCAAAGATCCTACTCTTCATTGAGGTGCTTCTTAGAGCTGGTACAATAAAGTGATGTAAGATGGTTGTACAAGTTACCACATCAGATTTGTGCTTACGTGGAGGAAAGAGAAGAAAAGTGGACTACAGATTCTTAGCTAGCTTCAGCACGAGCTCAAATAAACTATGTGAGAGATGGCTGAATTAGGTTTTAATGATGTGATATATATCTATAGCTAACTATTGTATGAGTGAGCTATTAGGTTGGCTATAGATGATGGTTCAATTTTTGGAGCTAATAGTTGACTATATTATTAAACTTGTTCTTAAGAGACGACTCTCTTTTGATCCCAAGCCTCACCAAGTTAATAACCAAGAGAAGGCTTTAATCTCCAACTTCACACCAAGGAATAGGGGTTTACTCCTAACCACCAAGGTTCAAGGATCCAACACCAAGGCTTTAGTCGCAAGAGCATGAACAATCCAATCCATCAACTAACCTATCTAGCTCTCACCTCATGACGTTACCATCTCATCTCTTTGTATTCTCTCAATACTCAACTCTGTCTATGTCTCACGTCGCTGTCACCACCCACACCTGCAGCAAAGACCAACACCATGCACTCCATTGGGTCTGACAATTTTAATTTGTTTCTGAACCGAGGTGCACCATCATCTTCGAGATATGAAACAATTCAATCTATATCCGCACCCGCTTAGAAAATGTAGTGTAGGATATGATATGACTAGAGGTGAAAACAGAGTGGATTCAGACGAATAGTGATGAGACCATATCCTACACCACATATTTTAAGGGATTCTGAGCGGGTGTGATGGTGTGCATATGTGGTGCGGGTAGTTTTGGATAATGGAAATGGTGCGGACTCTATTCGGAAATAGATATGTGTATGTAATACATATAACATCAATGCAACGTACAAAAGTACATAACAACATAACATCTGATTTCTAAACATGACTCCCACTCTCAAGGACAACAACCAGTCAGCTGTTAGGAGGTAAGAGCCGGAAAGACGTCTCTCAAGACCGTCGGTTATCATGTGGTAGACCGTCACCTTCGCCTCATCAAAGATTAGGAGGTTAGAGGGGAAGGATTGGAGTGGTATCACTCACTGCTCGCTATGTCATTGTGTGTTGTTTCTATGAGTGGTGGTGGCTACACAAGCATGAGATGAGACGGTGAGAGTCTACAATTAAGGAGTTTATGTTATCTGATGAATTGGGCTGTTGGATAATCCAATGGGAACTTTGGATAATCCTCATCCGCTGGATTTTAGCGATACCACAATCGTTGGATTTATATAAACCCCTACCATATTCTCATTTCAAACAGATTCAGAACGGATCGGATCGGATATTATCCGATTCATTTTCACCCTAGGTATGACTGCTATTGCCCAAATCCTCTCTGTTTTCACCCCTATTATATTAAATTCGCCCGATTGTTACACTCAAGGTTTACAACATCATGAATTCAACACTGGGTATCCATGCTCCACAAATGCATTGTACTATAATTGTGCTAAGTCATGAGCTACCCTATTACACCATCTTCCAATATGCCTAACCTCAACTTCCGGGAGCAATCTCATTATACTTTTCACTTCATTGATAGTTGACTCTCTCTCAAAAGTAGCTGTTGGAGCACGAAAAAACCAAAAACAAATGTGAAAAAAAATCTTGTGCTATCTTGCATGATCCAACCATGATGAAGTTGCATCGGCACCGTCGCAAGAGGAAGGGAACTCCACCTATCTTATTCTAAATAATGTATATTACCTTACAAGCATTTAATTATTGTTTTTTTTTCAAACACACTATCACTGGGAAGATGGTGAACCACTATTGACAAATCAAATTTGGTTTGTTGTCAAAAAAGTTATATTCGTTTCTTGAAACTTTTCTTTTTATGATTGCATCGTTGTTTTATCTTGAGTATATTTGCAACAATATTTTAATTGTGCATGTAGTATTCTTGAAATTGCCTCATTATTGCAAGCCAATGAAAATGACTTACTCTTATGAGGGCAAGTCCTTTGCTATGAAAATGAAAATTTTTAAATATTGGAAAGATATTCCCATTTTGTATGCATTTGCATTTATTCATGACTTGTGAGGATTCCTCAATGTTTTGCCACTTCTTGGCAAATTGTTTGAGGTATTTCGGAAGTATGAAAATAAATTGCAGGTAAGAAGAAATTAGGAAAACATCCTCTTCAGATCCCTCGTCTTTGCATCGAGTTTAAATTCCGGTATTGGTTTAGGGATATAATTTAAACGACGGAACGCTGAGGAATATAAAGTAGACTTTCTCTAAGAAATTACAATTGAAAAAGGAGTTCTGCTGTTGGGCCGTAATGCTAGGCCCAGCCACGCAGAGCCTACGAAGCGGCCTTCTGGGCTCCGGCCCGGGGCCTATCATTTCGCAACAAAATTCCCAAGTCTCCCCAAAGAAAGAAAAACCCCATCTCCCGTCTCCCCGCGAGTTCGCCCGCCGCCAGCGCCGGCGCCGATCTCCATCCCGCGACCGCGAGCAGCGGCGACGTGCTTCCGCCGCACCCTCGCTCGCCGGTGAGAATCCGCCCTCTTCTCTGTCATCACACCATTCTCAGATTTGCTTAAACCCTAGTTTCACTTCTAGATCTGGAAGCTTCCTATCTTTGCCTTAACCTTAGTACTAATAACAGTTACTAGTTCGTTTGTTCCTCAAAATGTTTGGGGGGTTCAATCTGTCGGACGAATTGATTAGCCTATTTTCTTTCAGCCCTGAGTTCCAACATTTGTAATCGTGTGCAATCTGTTGGATCATATAGCGACTAGAGTGTGTTGTGTTGTAGTGTGTTGTTTGGGAGGAAGCATACGTGAAGCTTCAGAAACATCTGTAGTGTGTTGTGTAGGTTGCTGCCATTTTTACTCCTAAGATAAGAGTGTTACTTGAGAGGTGAATCCATTCTTGGGTTTGCTAGTTATCAAAATTTCCGGCTTATATTCAAATGAACTTAATCCTAATAATGGAGATCAGGAATCAGTGCTAATAATATATTTGTTAGTGGTGAAATCACAAAGTATTTGATGGGCTAGTCATGGATACACACTCTACGCCACTGACCTTCCACGATCACATGGAAGTATGGAACTCTGGGCATCACGCGCCTCTTGGAAACTGCTTGTTGAGCCGGTTACTCTCTGCTGTAACTCCCTGCTTCCTTTAACCTGACCGATTTAACCCCTCTCATCACTTATTCCCTGTTCTGAAATCACTGTGCTCTGCACCTTTTTTTTTTTTTTACTGAGGAAATGTAAGGTTCAGATGGTCTGCCGCAGCCTTCTGTTGCTTACTCAACAGAAGCTAATTTGTTCCTGGGTACCACACAGCATGTGGTAACCTTTTTGCTTGCTAGGTGCTACCTAAGTCTCAGGTTTTCAGGAATGTATCTCAATTTGCTCTGAATTGGTAGTATGTAAATTTTTGAGATTTATGGTGGCGTGAATTTTCTAGCTTTCTTGGCTGCTGTTCATGTTGCAATTCTTACTGCGGTCAAAGCTGCTGGCCTTAAATTTGATGATGTTAACCTTCTAAAAAGGTTGAATGCTGAGACTATAGTGTTTATTCAATTCTTATACTAGTCACAACAAACCAGTTCTAGTTGTCAGAAGATTATCTTCTCTGCTGTCACTATGCCTTGGGGCTAAGTTACAGGGGTTGTAGCCGGGTGAAACAAGAGGTTGGGGTCCTGGACCAAGGCAGCGGGCAGGCATTGAAAGAGGAGTGTGTTGCTCTAGCTTATCAGTGATTACCTCTAGATCAGTGGAGAGATGCACGCTGTTGAGTATTGACTTCTTCATCTACAAGTTTACATGCATACGGGGATCATCATCTGTGTATCTTGAACATTGGAATTTGAAATTATTTTTTGAACCGTCATGTTCTTATTGCCTTTCGCAGTTTTCACAACAAAAATAATATGTAATGGGTCTTATAAGTGCTTATGTCTGTTTCATTTCCTGCTGCTCTTATACCATTTTAGATTCATATGTATGCTGGAACATCACAGATTTATCACTCATGTGAACACTACACAGTAATGGCATCTGCCTAAATTTGTTCTGAGTTTTTAGTGCTTATTAAATTTATTTAAATTTTGTTTTCATTGCTGTCGAAAGCTCTAAATTGCTTCGTGGTTCATGACAAAGCTAACTTTTACCTTCTCCAGGTGTCCGGGTATTTGCATTCAGTGACAAAAGTTCTTCAGCTGCGGAGTCATGGCTGCCCAGATACGCATAATAATGAAATCTTTTATGAGCCAAGCTAACAAGGTTCAAGGGGTTATTCCATACGCTCAGAAGATTGGATTGCCTGAATCACGATCCTTGTATACTGTGTTACGATCACCTCATATTGACAAGAAGTCCAGGGAGCAATTCTCGATGCATGTCAAGAAGCAATTTCTGGTACAGAAAGCGGAAACGCACGAGCTGCAAAAGAAGCTGTTCTGGTTGAAGCGCCTGCGCCTACTTGGAGCTCAATACGAAATCCAAATCAGTTTCAAGACTCGTTTGGATAAGAGTAAGCTCCAAGCTGCTTTGTAGTTGGTTCGTTCACCCTTGAACAAGACTGCTTCTCTCTCTTGGTTTTGAGATTGTCAAACAGAACCTTTGCATCCATTAGCATTTCATATGAAGAACTGCATCATTTGGAAGAGTTCACAGGAATGTTGTACTAGTAATTCATTCCAAACTCAGCACCATTTGGAATAGTTTACAGGAATGTAGCAGTAGCAATTCATCCAACTATCATATGCTATGAATTATGATGACGCAGCATGATCTGTAATAAAACAGATGTGCCTGCATTCCTGGATTTGTTGGTTTTGTTTCTAGTACAGTCTAACAACTCATGACATTCCAATCCTATATACCTTTTATTCGTTTGTTCTTGGTACTACTAATTCACATGAGTCATGACAAAACTCAGGGGCTCAGTGGTGGAGATGAGCTGTTGAATTAGAGTTTAGTGTTGGTGGCTAGTGAGCCTGGTTCTGAATCAAGCAGCCTTAGCACACTGTCTGTTGGTCACAAGGTCTGCATAAATCTTGCCCCTTTTCGTGGAAGGACAACAAAACAGAGTGCAAGCACATCAACCTCTTGTAAAATCTGCATTTCCGGCGATCCATTCGAAGTGTTCATTTTTTTTTTGGCAAAATACTTAACATAAAAAAAAAATAGTCGAATCATGCTGAACTGTATTGTACAGTGTTGGATCATGTGGACACTGTTTATACTCCATGCCTTCATGGCACTGATCTGCAATGTGAGTATGGATTCCTCTATTCATACTCTCTTCGTCTCGAAATAAATCAAACTTTAACTAGAATTAAATCAAACTTTAACTAGAATAGGATACATCCTAATACAACGAATTTGACAGATTTATTGTACTAAAATGTGTTATATCAAGATTCGTTGTACTAGGATGTCCTAGTACGAGATTAATTTATTTTGGGCAAAAGGGGGCCTTAATCAGGCTGGCCGACATACTCCAATTATTCATCTCTGTTTGTCAAGCTGATGTGCGCGCCTTCTGAACTCCATTCATTAATTGAAAGCGTCTTCTTGGCTTGTTGTCACCTATTAATCGATCTGATATGAATTCAATACCCAAAGATACAACTCAGTTGTAATGGATAATTAATGTGTCTATGTCAATTCTTTCTCTGAAGGAACCCAAATATCTCGCCTTGATAAATCCTATAGCTAGGGGTACGCCTAATGGACGATCGATCGCCCTGGGGATAGGGTAGCGATCAGATTCGCTCCCCACCTCTCCCCTCCACCCTCCCTTCCTCCACCTGGTTTCCTTTTTGGCTCCGTATTACTTTCCTATTTTAGTAAATTTATGCACCTAAAGTTTATACACCTCAAGTTTACACATCTCTAAAGTTTAGAGACCAAAAGTTTAGAAGTCAAAAGTTTATATATCCGATTCAAATTTGAATTTGAATTCAAATATTTTTTATATATAGTATTTCTATACATCTAAAGTTTATACACCTACAGTTTATAGACCTAAAGTTTATATATCCGATTCAAATTTGAATTTGAATTATATCTGATTCAAATTTGAATTATATCTGATTCAAATTTGAATTTGAATTGAAATATTTTCTATATATAGTATTTCTATACATCTAAAGTTTATACACCTAAAGTTTATATACCCGTTTCAAATTTGAATTTGAATTATATCCGATTCAAATTTGAATTTGAATTCAAATATTTTCTATATATAGTATTTCTATACATCTAAAGTTTATACACCTAAAGTTTATAGACCCAAAGTTTATAAGTTAAAAGTTTACATATCCGATTCAAATTTGAATTTGAATTCAAATTTTTTATATATAGTATTTCTATACATAAATTTTTCTAAATTTTTTTTAAAAAAAATTGTGGAGATGTGTAAACTTGAGGTGTACAAACTTTAGGTGCATAAATTTATTAAAATAGGAAAGTAATGTGGTGCCAAAAAAGAAAACGAGAGAGAATCAGATCTGATTGCCCCTAGCGATCCCTAGCGATCGATCGCTAGGTAGCATTACGCTATAGCTAGTGTATGATTGTTCTCTTGTATTCTATTACTAGTACTCTTATATGCTAACAGGTTTGATGTTGCCTAGAAAAATAAATAACTATGTGGGCTCATTTGAGACTGGGAATGTGGTGAGGACATCCCTATCATTGATACAACCATACCTAGTATACAGCAAGGACCAATTATTCGAGCTCAAGCACAACAACTCAATTATCAGGAACATTGAACACAAACAAGGTGGGAGGAGGAGCAGCCATGAGAATGAACAAGTGAAAGCCAGCATGAGCAAGGGAAAGTTCAGACAGCATGTCCGGTTCTACAGGCAATGGCAACTTCAATTGGTCATAACTCTTTACTTCAAAGAGTGTTGGAAGCTCATGAGCACTTGTTGGAAAGGGTTTTGATGTCTACTTTCATATGGATCCAGAAACACCATCAAATTCCATCGAAGCTGTCCAGAAACTGCAGAAGAGACGTTCGGACCTCGAACTTGCTAGTTGGGCCTTGTATCCAGTATAGCCCATTAAGGGAGCATTTCAGCTCAGTTCAAAAAAAAAGGGAGCATTTCAGCTAAGGTCTCCGTAACCTCCTGCTGTCCTCCACCATATAATAAGGCAGCAGCAGCCACCAAGAACACTCGAGTTTTGATTAGATGCAAGTTTAGTTTCAGCTACTTCCTTATATTCGCGTGAATCGGCTAAACCACCCGGATGCTTGATTTAGAACCCTGACTTTATGTGTATTAGTTTTATCATTTGGCAAGTGTTGTGAATTGTTTCCTTATCAACTTGTTCTTCGATTGCCTACAAGTTAAGTATTGTTCTTGGCACAACAAAAACAACAATAAATTAGAGCCGATGTACTGGTTGCTAAGGCGCAACGCCGCTCTGGTAGTTGTAACCGAACCACCAGCGTCATCTCCTCCCACAAATCGAAGTTATTATTCTCTCACTAAAAGATTGGGAACCCCGTTGCTACATCAAAATGTGGATGTCCCAACAGACATGAGCATGGATGTGTTTAATTTGTTCCACTATATTTACTTTCAGCTACTCATACAACCTCTACCTCATTTTGGCACTGCAAGTTATCCATACAACAAAAGGAGGTCAAGGTTTCCACAACAATCTTGCTCTTCTAAATGATATTCCATCTTCAACTCATCCTCATATCAAGCTTTTGTCTCTATGAGCATTATTTTTTAAAGAATTTTTCTTTTCAGTTGAAATGAAGGCGTATTCTCCAGCAAATTATCAGTTTTGTAAGATACCTTTCAGCCATAACAATCATTTTCATATCTACTAACAAAATATACAAATTTTAATTGTCTTGTAGTAAAATTTGATTTTATTTTTCTATACTGAAAGTCGCATATATTTCCAATTTTTGCTCTGGGCCGGGTACCCAGCTAAGGGCTCCCTTTGAACTGGTAGCGCTAATGCGCGCGGAATATTAGTTCGAGCGCCACACGACGCCCTCTCCTTCCGGTTTTTCTATTTTTTACCACCCCACCTTTGCTTTGCATCTCACCTTTTCTCGGTTCCTTTTTTTCTTTTTTTTTACCACCCCACCTTCCGTGTTTCTTTTTTCTCTTTTCTATCTCATCCGTGCTTCATCAATGGGCCCGCTAAAATATTAGCCATCCAGATTTTTCTGTTTTTCGTTCCTTCTCTGTAGTTTTTCTGTTTTCGCGTTTTAGTAAAATATTTACCGTCTAGTTTTTCTTTTCGAGTTTTTCATTCTTCTAGTATTTATGCACGTTTCAAAAGTAACGAATTTAATCCGACGAGTTTTTCATTTACTCCAAGACTCCCACATCTGCTCTTCAAAAGTAACAAATTTATTCGCATGAATGCCTCCACATCGTATGACACCATACCTAGCTGGTCGTAAAATAAAAGAATTACTACCAACTTACAACGCAAGTAATTCTTTTACCAATATTATAAATATTGTTTAGATTTCATGGTCTAATATTATAAATATTGTTTAGATTTCATGGTCTGTGAGTAAAACAATTACTACCTTCCTCTTGTTATAGCCCATGATCTCGTAGCCACCGTGTAGTAATATGTTTACTGATGTATTCAATACATAGTATAAGAGTAAAAACTGAGATTTCGTGGTCTGCGAGTAAAACAATTACCACCTTCCTCTCGATATAGCCATGATCTCGTAGCCACCGTGTAGTAATATGTTCATTGATGTGTTCAACATACAGTATAAGAGTGAAACTGATACTAAGAGTATTGTTGATATGTATCACAAAATAGTCGTATGAATGAAAATATTACAGGCTTAATCACACACAAGCAATAAAATTACTCATAGGTGAATCAAACTAGAAAAAAAAATGATTCAGCCAAAAATCTATCTGGTGGCTTTGCTGGATCTTGCTATAAGGATGAAGATGATGGTTTGTGTCTTATGACGGGTAGTGGAGAGGGCAACCGGGTGGCGATCAGTAGTCGACGATGGAATCATGGAAGGATGTAGCGGTGTGGTATAGAGATGAGCTCGACGTTGCACAGTAGCAGCCATCCATCATCTAGCAAGCACGAAAAAAAAATGCAAAAACATTCTCGTTCATGTCAATAGAGATGACGAGCAAAAGAAAAATAGCAAACAACCTCCATCACCGGCGCACTCCACCCTATCCTCTGCGGCCAGCCACATGGAGCACAATGTGCAAATGTAGGATATGTGCAGCCCATCAATTGAGTTTAGGTAATATTGGAGATTGCACGCTAATTTGATTTGCAAAAAAAATTAGGGCTTCATGCGTGAAATGGAAGGAGAGTATGTAGATGCAAATCAGAGTGTCATTTCCTTACTTGCTTGTTCTATCAATGTCGCCGACGTGGAGCAGCCGCTGGTTGTTGCTATTGGCCCTGGTGAACACCTCCTTGCTGGTTAAGGTGTTGCCCAGCGTCTGACGGCGAGGGTCGAAGCAGTGCCTTCTCCTCATCTGCCGCCGGCCACTGCCATCAATCGCCACGGTGTCGTCGTCCTCCTCCTCCATGGTGTGTCGCCGATCTGTGGGCTTTTGTCGGTGACATGGGACCGGGAGTATCATGACTAGAGGTTTGGGCAGGAGCAATCACCCACGTGGCCTGACCCCCTCGGGGGGGTCGGGCCCGAGGGTGATGTGGCCGCCCCCCTCTTTGTCTCCCCGAGGGGTCGGACCGCTCCCGTTTCGGCCCCGAGGGCTGAGGCGCCCCGACCCCTTGTGGGTTTGGCGCCGCGTGTATGGGTTAGGTGAGCATAACGGGGCTCACCTAACCGCATTTATTGCGGTTTAGACGAGCGCGTCACGCCGCAT